GCCGGGTTTCATGGTATCGCCGACTCGAGAAGTCCCGGGTTCGAATCCCGGTAGGGGCAGATGTTTGGATCAGCAGTCATGGATGTTTAATATGTATTTCTATATAAATATACTTATATATGTACAATATATGTATTCTATCCGTTACCCTAGTATCCCATAACACATGCCTTACAGTGCTTACTTTGGAGCTAGACTAATTGGTGTGAGTGTTGGAAATATTTATTTATTATTTTTTTATTATTCTGACTACGCATTTCTGCAAAGGATGCGAAACGTCAATAAATAAATAAAATCATAGCATCTGACCCGTTGACACTTGTTTTATTAAAAGAGTGATGTGCGTGAAAACCTAAGAAACAAATAGATAGAAATACTTTTTAAAGAATTTCGCAGTACTGATCTAGGCCAACTTGCACCGAAGTTCTTCAATTCAAATTCAAAAACTTGTCATGTTTAAACCGTGTTCTCTCTGTTTATCTTTAAACAATTGAAATAGATGGAATGATGTGTTTGAACAGGCTTAATATGACTTAAGAATGTAGATACATTACGATTCGCTTATAATAATTAAATTGTAGTAGTCTCCTGTTGGCAGAAATCTTTTTTTATTAAGTTTAAACACTATACGATATAGGTAATTCTGTCAAATCATACTAATATTATAGAGGCGAAAGTTTGTGAGTGTGTATGTTTGTTAGTTCTTCACGTCTAAACGGCTGGAGCGATTTTAATAAAATTTGGTATGGAGTTAGCTACCCAGCCACATTGTCACCGGTACCAGCTGGCTTCAGAAAAAGAGGCAGACCGCCAACACGTTGGACATACGATATCACACGTATAGCTGGTCGAGACTGGGTTACAGTAGCACGAAACAGAAATGCATGGCAATCTCTGGAGGAGGCCTTCACCTGATAGGGGTTATTGTCAAACTCATTTATTAATAAATATTCTTATCTATTAGACAAGTCCGTCCGTCTGTCTGTGGTGCTGTTTCAGCGGCCAAACCGTAAGAGATAGATAAAGAGAATGTTTAAGTAATAAGTTAAGAATAGTCTGATAAGACTAAAAACCGGATTTGAGTAACGTAGCACTTCCGGTTTTCGAGAAATCACGAATTTCAAACGAAACCACACAAAATCTCCGAAGTTCTCAATTAATTAAATACATTTTTTTTTTAATCAGGTTTTGGTGAACATTTGGTTGCTAGTATTTTATAATTTGTTAAAAGTTGTAACTAAATTGGCAAGAAATAAAAGGCTTTATTATTATTATTATTATTTATGGAGTTAGCTGACATCCTGGATTAACACATATGCTACGTTTTACTGCGGGAAAATATCCCTAATAAACCGCGGGTAACACCGCGGGGTACAGCTAGTACAAGTATAAATACAAATCTCATCTCATCAAAAGAGTAAGCGAGATGAACTTTTTGGAACTTTTGATCGACGTTTAATATTTTAATACTTATATATGTATATATTTATTTTGTTAAAAGTAACCAATTTGATGTATTAGTAACTAAAACAAAAAAAAAAGACAAAATAACAAAAAACATATAAAACTAGTAGTTTTATTAGTCTTCTATGGTATGTGTGTGTGTAAATGTAACATCGTGTTTATTAACAGGCTTATTTCTAATACTTGAATAAAAAAAAATAACTTTAGCTTTCTGCACCCCATTGCCATATGAAATTTAATTATGCAAAAATCTAACATTAGTAAAAGATTAAGGCTTGATTGACGAACGGGTTCGCTTTTTAAGTGAAAATAATATTCAAGTTATGGAATTTAATAAATAAATAATTGTATTCATACGTAAAGGAAGTTTCATTCGCGTATTCGCGAAATTAAAGCGTGCATAACACTTTTTGAGTACATTTCAGTCATGGAGAAGTATGCTTTTTAAACTTATATTTTTATATAAAATAATGCAGTTAGAAATAAATTAATAAGTTGATTATTTATGCAACTGTTGAATGAAGAGAGGTATTAAAACGCACATGTGGTAATAGTATCACATGAGTGTCTTAATACCTAATTCCTATATTATAAAATATTCTTGAACCACGGGGCGTTCTACCCACAAAACAATTATAAAAAGTTTCGGCGCTGCGCTTGTGAAACGCGCGTGAAAGACAATGTTATTTTTTTAATTCACACAGATACCACGCATAGAGCAGTGAAAAATGTGGCTTTATGATCTGTAAACTCTTTGCACGGAAGGGATTGAAAAAGCGAAGGAGTGTTGTTATGAAATTTAGTACATCATTATATCATCCGTTTGGATGATAATATTATGGTTATTAGGACATTGGATGTTTTAATGTTTGACGACCTCCGTGGCCGCGTGGTTTATATACCGGGTTTCATGGTGTCGCCGACTCGAGAGGTCCCAGGTTATAATCCCGGTGGGATGAATACGAGCAATTGTACTCCAGTCATATATGTACTGTATAATTATGTATTCTATCCGTTACCCTAGTATCCCATAACACAAGCCCTACAGTGCTTATTTTAGGGCTAGGCTAATTGGTGTGAGTGTTGGAATAAAATAAAATAAATGTTGGCAATAAGCTAACTGTTTTAGAATCTTTTATAGAGGTATTAAAGCATGGGTGTAGATATACGAATAAAATGAACTTTACATGCAGATACAATCAAGACATTGCAACTATAGATTATAATATGTTGAGCAAAAGCCAAAAACTTCTGTCTTGTATCGTTCTTTATCTTTTCTGAACTCGCAATTAAAAAAAAACATTAAGTATTTTTTGATATACACAACTTACATATATCCGATGTCATTTAATTTTCAGTTATTCGCAATACAGTGTATCAGTACACCGTAACTTTTTGACATTAAGAGTCTTCCAATTATTGCAATTTCAAAAAAATATATGAAAAACTAAAAAAAAATGAATAAAATTTCCATTGTTTTTTTTTGCAAATTTTTTGTATATATATATACCTATATATTTATATTATGCTTTTGGTTTTTTTTTAGAAATACGTGTGGCAAAATTTGTTGCTTTAAAAAAAGCTTTAATTTAGAATACCTAATTCATTTATATGTTAACAAAAAATCAACATTTACCATAAAAATTAGGTAAAGTCTTTTCGATATTTTTCGATGTTATCATCTGTATTTGTTGATTAGCATTATAAACACTATTAGCAAACGAAGTTATTAAAAAAAACTAAATGTCTCACTGACATTTTGAACGATAAAATGAGTGAAATAATAAAACATACATATATATGTAGCTAATGTTTTTAGCAGCATGAGCAAATTTTCGTTTATTTCGATAATGACTTTTAATACGCGCTTCATCATCGTTATGAAATTATTTTATCATTAAATAAAAAACTTATGTTGATGAAAACACTTGTTTTTATTAAACATTAGTTTTTTTAAACGCATCTTTTTAGGATTTTATTTATTAATTTGATTTTTCATTTAGATTTTTGATAACTGTTAATGAGTATCTTAAATGGATGAGTTTCTGGAGGGGGTAGTCAAATACAGTAATACCTATTTCCTTATCTACAATTACTTATATTCATTCGTTATTCTGATTGTAGGTAGCAATTGGGATATATATTATATATTTATACTTGATTTATTTTTATTAACTAAAATAGTTTTCTATTCAGAAAGGGATGCTCACATTATTTGTAAAGCTATGAACAACATAGCTTTTATAAACACTACATTTTACCGAAGAAATATTGTTATATTTTATTGTTAAAGTTTTGATTTTTATGTCAATGTGAAACTTTGTTATTATATAGAAAAGTACATTTAATAAACGCATCTTAACACTTGTGGGAATCGAACTATCTACGAAAGTTTCATACTTTCCGTAACGGAACTTTCTTTATTTGTCTCTTAAAAAAAATATTCAGTTGACACATTTGCATGTATTTCATGAACATGTGTTACATGAAATTACTGAATGAAACGTTCAATATAAAAAAATACCTCGGTTTCTTTATTTAATTTAAATTGGACAAAGACTCAGTGTAAATGAGAAATATAATTAATACAAACGTTGGCATAACAAGCACAAAATATAACAAAAAAACTGTTTTTAATTTAAATTCTGATTTAAATCTCACTGGAAACTATCAAATTGCAGGAAAATTTGCTGAATTCTGCTAGTGTACAGCATAGATAGTCTCTTTTCTATATCAAAACATTCTGGTAACTAATATTTAAAAGTACAAAAGTATTAATGACAATTATTTTATTCCACATCCAAAGGGACAAAAGAGTTTGGTTGATAATTTAAAAGTAAAAGCTGTAATAAATAATACTACGTTATTTTCAGTTTAAAGTTTTATCGAGGATCGGAAGATCGAGTATACAGTGGACGAATTCGCGAACCAAAAACAATGTAAATTAAATGTAAGTTTAATGTTATTATGGAATGTTCAATTTCGAGTTTATTCAACCGGGGCGCGGGCGCAGGCGACGTGTTTATTCAAATCGGGGTGATAGTTCAGTATCCATCAAAAGTTTCACTCGTTCTTTGTAAATTTTGTATTTATCTAAGTATTTGTTTTTTTCTGTTACGACTGCTACCTGAATTAATATTCATAAGTTTTACGTGTTCTTAAAAAAAACTTGAGCGCTCACCATGAAATAGCTTAATAACTCCCAATTTAGAGTTATTTTCAAACGAGTTATTTCGCATTGAATAAATTCAACTCAATCCATCAAATAATTGAATAAAGCGTTTTTTCTATAGCGTTTCGAATAGATTCGTGACTCTACCTTAAAGTTCTAAAAGAGCGAGAAACATATTTTTTATTGCGTTTCCTAGTTAAATTTGATGAGTAACTATTATTATCATAATAGAACGTAAATATGTGACTAAATACTATCAACAGACTATTTGCAAAGTGTCAGATCATCAGATGAATAAATACAATAAAACTAACTTATTATTATGTTGCACAACGTTATCTGTCACCATCGATAGAATACGCACCTTATGTTCATAACCGAAGGTGGCTCGTACCGTTTATTATACCACAATCACATAAAATGTATAACACAAAACGAAAATGCGAATATTCAGTACTACATCCAAAGAGGTACGTATGCGAACTTAACCGCAACTTGTCACTAAAACTCGGCCGCACACATTTTCATTTTAAATTCGAGAAAAGCAACAAATTAGTAAAAAAAAAAAGAAACTTGGCAGAAAGGTTTCATTCCACAACACAACACCGTTTTAAAAAGTTTAAGAAACAGAAAAAAAAGTAAAAAGTCACAGGTCAAGTTTGTTTGGAGCGCACGCTGAAAGTTCGATATTTGAATTTGATATGGATCGGCGCGAGGACTATGCGCCGGCGAGGGAGCACGATCGACTGCCGACTCGTGCGCAGCGATACACGGGTCCGGCCTGAAGGCAGGGGGCGCCAACCTTCCGTAAGCGGCAACTTGGACAGATTTAATGCCTTTTCTTCATATTATTCTCGGCCTTTTGGCTAAGATCAAAGTGTAGCGAACATTATCATACAAAATTCTGCGCAATAATTATGTTTATTGTTGTAAAACTATTGTGTCTCTTTTTCTTTGCTGCTTTCATAAGTATTTAAAAGCAGCTGAAAAAAGCTCATGCTCATGAGTATTTACATAATAGCTAAAAAAATCTGATTCTGTAATCTGGAGCTCTATTTTTCCATTTTTCCTAAGCAAGTATTATTAAATATGATAAGTTATATTAGTTTGCCTGGAATTTTACAACAAAAGTTTTGAATAATTTATTGAAATCTTAGAAAATATTAATATAAATATTATAACTTTTGGACTCTATCATTACTTAATGACCAGCGACCTACAAAATTTTGTTTCACTTAGTATTTACTTAACTACATAATTTCATAAAACTTAATTGCATCTAATAATTTGTTCAACAGTTAACAACTTCTGACAAAACCTGTTAATTTTGCCAATGTACGCACCAATAGTCTTGGAGTACAATAACGAATCTATATTTGTCTCACTCGCTCTCGAGTCTTTACAATCCACGCTAAAAAGAGACAGCAACTATGTTACAGGTGATTTAACATGGACCTTGGTAACTTAATACATTAAAGAAAGGCACTAAGTTGCGCGATTTACGTCAGCATTATTGTCAACCTTAATGCTATTGCACTAAATACCATTTTAGAACGTGTTTATCTCTACATTTAGAACGTCAAGTAAGAGATAAACGATTATCATTATTTTTTGTTGACTGCGTTTGCTCGTAAAATCATAGTAACAACATTTGAGCCATAACACATTAAAAAATCTATAAATAGGTTCAATATAAAGATTAATTTAAATTTTTGTCACAAAGACAATTTCGATGTGCGGATGCGTAGGCGCAACCGGACAGTTGATACGTTTCATTAGCTGCGGTACTGCATCTTCTAGCTTCGTCTTTTTCCCTCGCTACTACAGCGCGCGTGTTGGAGCGAGACAACACTACGTTCAAGCTATGGACCGCGAGAGACGGGGCTTTATAAGGATCTACCCAGATGCGTTGAGCGCGGCTGATCTCTTTATGTAGGAGGAAATCTTCAATTGATACATAGTAACTGGTTTTTTTTGCGTTTAAATACTTACCTATTATTTCTGAGGAATGTGTTTATGTACAATTCAACAAATATTTATGTAGAACGATACCGTTAAAACTATAAAAAGTCTAAATTTTTTGTTCTTCATGCCGCGTGTTAGTTAGTAAAATTATTTTACATTAAACAATTTGAATATATGATGATAATTCAACACAGTTGCAAACTGCGACTTTTTTTGGATTTTCGGAGAAACATCTTTAAAATACTCGTATAATTTTAAAATTAACGAAAGCTACAAGTGATACTTTATCGTTAATAAGTTGCAATTGTTTTTCGCGTTTATGTTTATATTGATCCCATAAAAAAAAAAGTGAAAGTTTGTATGTTTGTAAGTTTCTACTAACTCAGTCACGCAAAAACAGCTGAACGGATTTTGATGAAATTCAGCACACATAATTATAATTTCTTACCAGGATCGAGACATGGGATAATTTTATCCCCAAAAAATTTAGGTTTCTAAGGAATTCTCAAAATCTAAAGTTATCGCAGACGAAGTTGCGGGCGCTCGCTAGTTAAGCATTTAATGAATACCTCCGTACTTATCGCATTATTTCCTTTTCGCTATTACTACATAAATAATAATCATAATTTAGTACCTTACTAAGTTCCGAAGTGATGGCTATCTTTCTATTCAATGTTATTTACAATTTAAGATTTGCTTCCAAAGAATTAGAACTGTTTTTTTTTGAGTGTGTATGCTGTTGGTCGCAGATGACCTTTACAGCGTCACCGGGTTTGGGGACGGCGAGATCCTAAGGGGAGCTCGAGACAAGAATTGGCAGGTGCCTCTAGAGGTATTCCAGGTGGATGGCATCTCCTCACGGGGGGAGTCTCCTCTCCGTCTGGAGCCTGTAGATCACTTGAACCTGAGGGGTTCGGCTCAACTAGAGAGCGTCTCTGAGACTCGGACCTCGGCTCTAGTCAGCCGTTGTCGTGGGGGGCAGAATGTTGAATGAGGGTGTAAATATATGATGTTATGCTAAATGTTATGATTGAGGCAGTGGTTACCGCGTGCGTTACGTTGCGTTGGAAGTTAGGTAACTTTCACAATGGCCAGTCATAAGATAGGTGACCAAAAGCTTTTTTCTATAGCTTTTTATTTTATTAGCGAAAGATTGTGCTGTGCATTCGGTAGAGCCGGTCCTAAAGTTCGCAACAAAGGTTTATAATTAATATAAAGAAATTAATTGTGCAAGCCAGAGAACAAAAACTATAGCCTTTCTGCACTACAGCTCTACACCGAAGCGAAGCGAGGGCGGGCCACTAGTGTATATATAATTATAGTCTCATGTAACGCTCGTAACGCATTTCCGTTTCATCTTTTCCATTGGATTTTTCCACTTTCACCCAGTCGGTAAAGAAGGAATGGGAGTCTCCTCTCCGTCTGGAGCCTCTAGACTACTCGAACCTGAGGGGGTCGGCTCAACTAGAGGACGTCTCTGAGACCTCGGCTCTGGTTAGCGTTGTCGTGGGGGGCAGAACTGATATCTTCTTTGTTGTTTACTGATCTTAAAGTACACTGATCTACAAAACAGAGTATCACAGTTTTGAAAAAGAAATAACTTTCTAAGTACTAAGCACCCGCGCCATCGAGCTCATCGTTTTTCTAAAAAAAGCTTAGTTATCTATTATTATTATAATATTCTTTATGTTAAAAAGGTGGCAAGCAAGCGTATGGCCCGCATGATGGTAAGCGGCCACCATAGACTATAGACGCATCATCATCATCAACCCATGCAAGTCCACTGCTGGACATAGGTCTCCCCTAATGCACGCCACTTAACGACTTGCCACGCCACAGATGCAGCCGGGACCAACGGCTTACCATTGGTCCCGGCTGCATCTGCAGTCGTTAGCATACGCCAATCCCAATCTCCCTATTCCACCCATAGGGAAGGCCTGTGCCCCAGCAGTGGGGACATTAATAGGATTTTGATGATGATGATGAAGCTTTTCTTTGTGTGCTTATGTTGTACTTTGCCGTTGATATGGGAAAACTATTAAATACTTACAAAGAAAACAACCTTAAAAGCTCTCTATCCAATCAACAAATACTTTAAATCTTTACAGATATGACATGAAGTTCTCTAACAATTTCATTGTAAATGCAGCATATGCAGTGTGAACATTGTTGCAAAACTTTCAGTACGTGTTGCATACGTTCTCTGACAGGGAAAGTCTTTTTGCACGCGACATTTAAGTACATATATAACTACTATATATGTATGTTTGAGGCATATAGTGACGTTCACCGTACTGTCAACGATTACTGGTGATTTTCCACTTTCATGAGCGCCGAAACATGCGTCCGAGCGCGTCTGAAAGCACACCCGCATGACATTCTGTCACCGTCTACGCTTTTCTAACTACTGAAATGTCAATAGCGTGCCGAATGAAAGAACTCATAATGATACGCAAAATTCAGCCATCGCGGAACATTTAATTGATTCGGGTCCTAATCACAGGATTGAACTCCATAATCCACAAATTATCTCGACAGAACCCACTACATACCAAGATTGGTCAGGGAAGCGATTGAAATAACCAAACACAAGAATTTCAATCGTGAGGACGGGTTTAAATTGTCAAGTGTCTGGAATCCAGTGGTTCGTATGTGTAAAAACCGCAAAAAGATGAAAAGTGTCGTTCCGCGATCTGATACTGTGAGTTTTGTGTGTCGGGAACGAGTGCGCGTAAATAGTGAGAGTGTCAGTGGAAGGGGTATCGAACGTAATAAAAGACGACGTCAGAGGGTAGACCGATATGTCTGCCAATAACATATACCCGCAATTATCTCAGTTACTTCGTGATCATGGCGCTTGCAACAGTGCCGAAATATCGAAGACTCATAAAAAACAAGGTACATGGTAACAATCCCGTTAATAGCTATAATGTTAGTGACCATGAAAGTTTAAAACAATATACTGAAATGTCTTTGTATTCTTTCCAATTTATTTAGCTTTCCTAATAAAAGAAGAAATACAAAGTATCTTTTAATACTTTAAGATCAGTAAACAGCGAAGAAGATATCATCATTGCTATTCTGTAAATTTCCCGATATGGATAATGACGTAGCACTGCAGTTCTAATTCTTTGGAAGCAAATCCTAAATTGTTTATACCATTACTGCTAGTGAATTTAATAGTCGAAACGTAATCGCCTCGCCTCGGAAAAGCTCGTGACCCGAGTGGAGGCGATTACGTGACGATACCGATTAGTATGCGTTGAAGTAGAGAGTTTCATACAAATAATACTGAACGGCCCCAATTGATACGGTGACGATTCATTTCCGAGTTGATATATCTACTACAACCATAAGTACTTTTATTTATTTTTTGTGTGGGAAATCCCTTACGCATCCTTCCACCACCGGGGAAGCGAGAAGAAGGTATCTGGAAATCGTCCCTGCTCATTTAAGCCAGCCCTAAGGTTTGAGGGAATGAACAGGGCCCTGCCTAATGCCCTGTCCGAGGGCCAGTAAAACTACCAGACAATACTCCTGCACCGTTCCCCCGCTAAGCACTCTGAGGACTGAAGTCCCCGGAGTGCGTGCCGTGCGTGCGTTGCGTGCGGGTGATGTTGCGGTAATCCGTTGCCGCGCTTTACCGCTTTTTCTATCGCCTTTTTGCAAATGGATCCGCTATCCACATTTAACCTACGTGGTTCCACTTTTTTAAAAATGTACTATAGCAACCTCTATTTTCCTCACTCATGGGTACCATGCATTCCTTACTATGTTTACATT